TACTAAGTGTATGGTTAGAACTTGAACTCAGGACCGACCAGATCCAAAGCCTGTGCTCTTAACCTCCACTGCCTCACAGGGACTGTTGCCCTCTTCAAATTCCTCCTCTCTTGGGCCAGGAGTCAGTAGTCCTGGATCCTAGCTTCAACTCTTCACAACATGCAAAGCGACCAGGGCACTTAACTGTTCTGAGCCTCAGTTTCCCCACCTGCAGGATGAGGAGAGACGGCACCCGTGCTGAAGGACAGAATCTGGCTGCACCACCCCCTTCACCATCATTGGTTTCCCATGATGGCCTATGTGAGTTTCACATACATAGAGGAGATGGAACCTGGGAGCCTCGGAGGGCTGGGTCCCTCCTTCAGTGTACTCAGTGGGTGCATGGTAAACCAAAAACTGTTTGCTGTCAAGTCAACTCCAACTCATGGCGAGCCCATGTGTGTCACAGTAGAACTGTGCTCCACAGGGTTTTTCAACGGCTGTGATCTGTCAGAAGTAGATTTCCAGGCTTTTCTTCCAGTGGGCCTCTGGGTGGACTCAGAATTCCAGCCTTTGGGTTAGCAGACAAGGGTGTTAACAGTTTGCATCACCCAGGGATTCTGGGCAAATGGTATTTAATGAACAGGGAGAAGTTTGGTTTCAACCCCCAACTGTCGGAACGGAGACGGAATCAGCAAACCACCCATGGGTATACAAAGAGGAGATGAAAACAAGCCTCCTGCCCTTGAGAGGCTCCCAATCCAGTTGAGAAGACAAGCCCGGCAGCCTCTAAACCAAAGAACAAAGTGAGACCAGTTAAGTGGAGCTGAATTATGCGCTCAGACAGAGAAGCCCCATACGGAGGAGGCAGGGGACTCCAGCTGGGAGGTGGAGGCTGGGTGGGCTCGTGGAAGCAGCCAAAGAGAAGGCGGGGTGATGAGTACAGGGTAAACTGCAACCCCCTGCCAGTTTCCCGGGGTGCCAGGGCTCCGTGGCGAAGGTGAAAATCCCCACTTTGCTCCCAGTGATTTCAGACTTAATTATACCCTGTCTCCCACCTCTAGCTGTCATAGAACATGCCATCCTCATTTCTGCAACTTGATTACAAGTTCCCTAAACACTACAGAATTAGTTTGTATTTTGTAGCACAGAGGCACAGAGGAGGATGGTAATAACTTGCTGGTGGTAGTGACACAATCACTAATAATTTTCCCTCAGTCCCTCCCCTTCCCTGTCCTCAGGGAGACCTAGCTTTCCCTGAGGACCACACTCACTTGAAAAGCCCTCTCAGCACCTGCAACTCAGGGACTGCGGTGAGAGTCGAATTTACCTCTCCTACTACAGCTTCCAGAAACCCTGGTGGCATAGTGGTTAAGTGCTACGGCTGCTAACCAAAAGGCTGGCAGTTCAAATCCACCAGGCGCTCCTTGGAAGCTCTATGGGACAGTTCTACTCTGTCCTATAGGGTCGCTATGAGTCGGAATCAACTCGACGGCAACGGGTTACTAGAGCTTCCAGACCCTATTACATCACCTTCCATGAACAGCCCCTCCTTCCTAGAGCCTGTAGCATCTACTTTAGGTAAAAAGGCATCATAACATAGTGGCTAAGCCCTCTGGCTCTGAAGCTACTGGCTAATGGTGCAACGGTTAAGCGCTTAGCTGCTAACCAAAAGGTTGGAGGTTCAAACTCGCCCAGCAACTCCTCAGGAGAAAGACCTAGTGATCTGTAATTGGTAAAGATTACAGCCAAGAAAACCCTATGGGGCAGTTCTACTCTGTCACATGGGGTCACTTTGCATCAGAATCTGCTCGACAGCACCCAACAACAACAACAACATGCCTCAGTTTCCTCATCTGAGAAATGTGGATAATAATAACATTAGCAGTAATAATATTAATGATAATACCTACTTCCTGTGGGCTTTGTCAGGAATAAATGAGATGATACCTATCAATCTCTGGGTCCAGAAAAGTGCTTGAAATATGTGTGGTATTATCAGCATCTTCTTCCCACTCTTTCTACCTTTATCAATTAAACCTCCTGGACCTTTCCCCATATTCCCTAGGACAGCTGTTCTTACCTGTGGTCTGTGGCCCATTGGGGCAGGTAATCATAAAGGATCCCCAAATCCACATTCAGCACAGGTTTTCACATGCTTAGCTGCTAACTAAAAGGTTGGAGGTCTGAATCCACCCGGCAGTGCCTCAGAAGAAAGGCCCGGCAATCTACTTCTGAAAGGTCACAGCCTTGAGAACCCTATGGACCACAGTTCTACTCTAACAAACATGGGGTCACCATGAGTTGGAATCAGCTCAAGGGGAACTAATAACAACAGTAACAACAACCACTTTAATTTAGCTTAACAATCATCTAAGTGGGTATTTTTATTCTTATTTATTTATAGAAAAGTTAAGTAACTCATACTAGGAAGTGTTAGATGCAGGACTGAACTCAGGTCTGTTTGACACCAAAGTCTGTCCTCCTCCCACCCCACGGCTCTGCCTCCCAGACAAGAGATTCTTCTTCTAAGAAGGGGTTTTCCCAGGCTTTCTTTCCAGGAAAAAGAGACTCTTTCAAACCCTCCACACATTCATGCAGTTGAGGGCATCTCCTCTACTCTTCTGGAAAAGTTCAGTTTTTCATCTTCTTCTTGTTGCTCAGGCAGGAGTTTTCCACAGTCCCCTGTGCCACTCAACAGCAAAATGACCTCAGGTTGTGTGGGCCGATGGGACTGTGTGGGGTCTCTCTTCTCCCGTCCCTTCCCTCGGAAGCATCCAAGTTCTGCCCATGGGTTGTGCCTGGTGCTAGGGTCAGATGAGGTAACCACAGCCCCTCACCCCAAAGTCTTGGCTTCCACCTTTGAAGACACTCACCTGCATTTTCTCCAACATCTCGAAGAACTCGGCAGACTGAAAGACACAAAGAGGGTGGGGAAGAAAGATGGGCGGTCAGCCAGGAGGTCTGCTGAGAAAGCTTCTCCTCACCACCTGTCTGGAAGCCAAGCCTGGGGCTCCCCTGAGGGACAAAATTCATTTGGATCAAGAGAGAAGATAATTTGATTTTGCCTTTGCAGGGCTGGAAGGCCAGAACACCCCATTCAACAAAAGGAAAGAAAAAAAAAAAAAACCCCACCAAGGCTGGCAACCCTTAGTCTCTGTCAGGGAAGACAGGACTGTGGAGCCCCTGGGAAAAGACAAGTTCCCCAAAATGCCTGGGAGTCCTGGGATTCACCCCAGCCCCCAGCAGGATTCGTGTTTGGAATGGGGTTCAGTTCAGTAATGGGGCCGAGGAGGTGACCAACACAAGTAGTTTTCCAGTTTTTGTGGTAACACAGCCTTTTGTCTTCTCAGACAAAATCTCACTCAGACCCTGAATATATAAAACCAATAAAAGCAGAGCTGGCCTGAGCCACCATGGAGGCTTGACATGCCACCTCACCTCCCCCGTCCCTTGCCCTCTGACCCCAAGACACCTCTTTAGGAACCTAGAACTTGTGAAGCAAAGCCTGAAAACTACTGAACTGCACACTTCAGAAGGCTTTTAAAAATTTCAAAGCACACTTGTCCAAACCTTTAACCTACTCTGGTGCCACCTTTGTAACCTCCAGGTAGAGACAAAAAGGAGAAAAAGGAAGTGGAATAGGAGGGTGAGGGAATGGAAGCTCTTCCCCAACAAAGCAACTGCAAAGTCTCCTCAGAAAAGCTCCTCACATCTCATTCCGTGAAAACAGCTACATTTTCTTGCCATAACATCAGTGGCCACATCTGGCCACTGGCACACCATGAGTTACTGGGTGCCCAAAACAGACGGTCCCCAGACAATAGGAGAAAGGACAGGAGAATAGAAAGCTGTGGTGAGGAGGAGTGTGTCTGTTCTCGTCACTTCTTCATGCAGCGGCAAATAAAGCATCCAAACTCTCCCTTCCTCTAACTTCCCAGAATAGAACCACCATGGGAAGGACCCCTGTGGGGTTACCTGGGGAGACCCAGCTCTGCAGCAGACTCCAAATGACTTCAGTCAGGACGTAGCTGGCCTGTCAGAGGCAAAAAGCCTCTGATCCACCAGAAGTTCAGGTTACAAGGTCTGGACAGGTGAACAGACAGGTGTGGGGACAGCTTGGGTCACCCACATCCAGCAACCTTGACCAGAAGCAGCCACCAAAAACACCCAGCTCCCAAACCCACCCCTCCCACTTGTTCTGGGTATAAATGCACCACACACATTTTGCATTCTTACCAACTCCAGTCTCCAGGAGACCAAGGTTATCAAACATAAAGAGCTTGTAAGCAAAAATTCTCAACAAAATTCTAGCCAATAGAATTCAGCATCATATCAAAAAAATAATACACCAGGACCAAGTAGGATTCATACCAGGTATGCAAGGATGGTTCAACATTAGAAAATCAATCAACGTAGTCCACCACATAAATAAAAGGAAAGAAAAGAATC